TAAGCACTTCGTGCTCATAGACTATAAAAACAGTTCGTGCTGCACTGTATTTGTTTTGTCCTATCGTATCTAGGCCTGTCGCAATAATCAATATATCGAATTATCGCGCAATATATGTACTAGGGATATGCCGGTATCAAATTTTCATGTTGCGATTAATCGCCATCTGCTGTCAGAGAGTGAAAGTGCACTTTCATCCAGAGCGTCTCTCACGTGTTCTGCCATGTGCTTCTCGTCCGCGCTGATTTACATCAGAGTGCGCACGCGTCTTTTACGCAGCATACAGCGGTGTTGTGCATTTTGACCAGTTGATGGGAAAAGTATTCTTAAAATGCATTCAAAATTCGGAATAACTTGTAATATATAATTATTCACGGTATTTAGAAGTGCCCACGATAACAATATGGTGCATATTCATTACCGTGATATATCGCATTACCGAATACCGGCACAAGTCTAATATGTACATGACCTCAATCATTTTTGGTGACGCAATATATCGCCCATTATATTTACAGTTATTACATTATATTAAAAATTAATGTTACGATGTTTTGTACATTCCACTTGCGCCTGTGTCTTTTGCAGCGTGGTGTAGTCATGAGGTGCTAGTTCAAATGTAAAAAAATGCTTCTACAAACAATGTTTCATCTGCAGATATGGTCTTGTTTAGGGATCTGTGCCTTTGTGCATACGGACATAGAGAAAAGAAGGTCAGGGGAAAATCTGTAGATGGAAAAATCTCCGTACAAGTTCTTTGTGCATTTTTCTTTTTTTCTACTTGTTACTTGGCACTTTTTGTTAGAACATGTTTATTTACTATTTATTCAAGTTTTTAAGGTATGTAATATTTTGATGATCTAAATGTTCTTAAATTAAAAGTTTGTTGTCATTTGGAAGTGTGTAGGCCTTCTTGCATTATTATGCTGTTACATTATGATTATATATCACGCTAGCCAGAGTGCGAAAGCGGATTTAAATTCAGCAGTTGATGACGTGACGCACTGAACGTTCTAATCACACCGGTGTGATCGTACGCGTCAAAGGGTTAATGATAGAACTTTAGTCATAAGAATTAAAACTTGATAACCATTTACGAATGCATATTTGTCATTTTAACTGAACCTCTCGCTGCGTGTGTGTGCAACAAAGCGACGGGGAGTCGTGCGCCTTCGCACTAGAGTTTACGGTACGTTAAATACAGGTGCGTTGCACATCCATACAGCACAGATCGCTTGACGGAGAGTGAAACTCTGAAGCGCTCAGTCAGAGTGTTCTGTGAGTGAAAATATATCTGTGCTATACTTAACCTCCAACTCACACACTGGCGAGTAAAATCTGAGAATTTATTAGCCATTGGCTAATATTAGACATCATTTAGTCGCCCAGAGTAAGATTTAGTCGCATATGCGAGTGATTTACTCGCAATGTAGAGGGTTGCTATTTGTGATGTGAAAGTGCTTTATTGATTTACTGCAGTGAAAAGCAAAGTTACAAAGGTCTCTCAGTCAAGACAGGAAGGAAGTTCATCAGCTATGCACTTTCATGTTGTTTATTCTCATTGGTGGTCAAGTACAATGACTGATGACTTCTCTTGTGGCTTTGAAGGTTGATTGACCTGAACACTAGTCCAGCTCAAGAGAAAGAGCTTTTAAAATGGCACCTAAATAAATGATGACTGGCAGCTGGCAGCGTTGGACAACTGCTGTGATACTCATTGTGCAAAGGTCATTTCAGATTTGCCTTTTCAGACCTGCCAACCTGTATGCATTTTGCGTAGCGGATACGCATTTTGACCTCAAAGTACGCTGGTACGATTTGTCACTCTAAACTGCACAAAAACCTGGTGATGCCTCTGTCCACGTGCAGTATTCAAAACAAGCAACAGAAAAAGATGGAGTTCAACCAATCAGAGCGGTTTTTTTAGGTTTTGCTTTTTAAATTTCTGTGCGTTTTATTTCTCTCCAAGCTGGCTCTGTATGTGTGTCCGTGAGTCTGCGTGCTGAGTTGAGGAAATGCCTGCATCTGAAAAAGCAACACACGCCAAGGATCTTCCCTTGTAATGACTAAACCTTTTGTTCAACAACAAAAAAGAACATTATAACATTCTTTTACTGCACAACATCAGACAAATATTTAAAATAATTTTCCTCTTGATCTGATGTGGCTTCTTACCACAGAATGACGCAGAAATAAATTCTACACTGGAATAACGGCGATTAGCAGTGGATTATAAGTATAACATTACTTAATTATTAAAATACTTGAGGTGGTTTTAAGAACACAGATCAACATTGTCGCAGTACAGTGTTTATTATCTTAATGTTCTTCTTGAATGTCATCATTCAAAGTGTTTCTGTCTTCTTTCATTCAGTTACAGCGATAGCTGGCTGTTTTTGTCCATATTAGGGATTTCCTGTAGCGTCCCGAGTTCTATTTCTTCAATAATGTATATGTGGATTTTCTGCGCGAGGGTGCGAGAGAGGCATTACATGTGTTCATAGCACTAAATAATGGCCAATACATAAAAATAATACTACTTTTTTTAAATAGCATTTAAAAATAGCAAAAAAGAACTAAACAAAAAAATTGTGGTAAAAATTTTTTAAAACTAAGGTATTTATTGAACCGTGGGCTAACTGTATTGTTGCATCCCTACTTTTTACTCTAAAATACTGTATAACAGGAATATCACAAACTGAGTGCAGACCCTGATTATTAACCTATAAAAAATATTTAACATTAAATCTGCCTTTTCATACATTTTGTTCCATAAAAATAATACTACTTTTTTTAAATAGCATTTAAAAATAGAAAAAAAGAACTAAACAAAAAAACTGTGGTAAAAATGTTTTAAAACTAAGGTATTTATTGAACCGTGGGCTAACTGTATTGTTGCATCCCTACTTTTTACTCTAAAATAGAAAAAAACTGTGGTAAAAATTTTTTAAAACTAAGGTATTTATTGAACCGTGGGCTAACTGTATTGTTGCATCCCTACTTTTTACTCTAAAATAGGCCTACTGTATAACAGGAATATCACAAACTGAGTGCAGACTCTGTTTATTAACCTATAAAAAATATTTAACATTAAATCTGCCTTTTCATACATTTTGTTTTAATGAAAATAGAATTATGTGCACTAGGCATGAACAGTAGGCCTATATTAATATTATATTGGTTGCCTTTGCTGTCATCTATCGCTCACTTAAAGATCTTTAAAAACACCACTAAAAATTTCATAAAGATAAAAGTGAGTGCATATGGGACATTCAGGATCTTTAACAAAACCAAATGATTGATTGGTTACTAGGGGTGGGTGATATAGCCTCAAAATTATATCACAATATTTCAAGAATATTTGTGATAACGATATTTATGACGATATAGGAAAAAAACATGGAACGTTTTATTGGTGATTGGAGCTGGCAGGCAGCAGCATTTATTAGTGCAAACTAAATGAAGGGCATTTTCCATCCTTTTCCAATGAGCTACTGTCATCGATGACAGACTACCTAATTTGAAGTGTAAATCTATTGTCATAAGGTGGCAGCAGCAGCTCTGTGTTCGACTTGAAGCAGACCGATCGGTGTATGACGTCAAAATACCACGAGTGACTTACCCTAGTGCTGGGCGGTATGACCAAAAATTTATATCACTGTATTTTTCAAAATTATACCGGTTTCACGGTACATGACAGTATGTTTTTTTTCGCGACACTTTGAAGTCATACACCGATCAGTCTGCGCAGCACTGCTTCAGGTCGAATACACCTATTGGGTTTGTGGTGTTGTTGTTGTGAGCACTAGGGAACGTATATCCGCCATACGTCATCGCGTCGCTATATCATTGATATCGCAATATGACACTTTTTTATCATATAAAAATTTATACCGGTATTTATAAGTTTCTGCTTAGCATCTGGACATATTTGTAAGAATACTCCACTTTTTATAACCTGCTGCTCCAAGGAACTTCATACAATACAAGTAAAGACTGAACTGACCAGAGTATATTTCTTCTATGTATGTTCGTTATGTTCTTGAACCAACCAGGAAATCAAGTTAATTGTAGTTTAACCAAGCATGGGGGCATTTACTAGGTATTCCTCTTTCGGTCTCCTGCTCTAATCAAAAGTTTCTTTCATGTATCACAGTTTAACTAATGTGGTACCAGTTTAATGGGCTTGAAAGAAGGACTGTTTTGTGTGTGCTTGTTCATGCATGTTTCTGCCTGTCTGTGTTTGTATCTGCAGCCCATTTTGTCAGTGTACGACTCCTTCGGTGCCTCGACATGCACAGTGCCCAAAACAGACCAAAATGGCTCTTTGAGTAAAGACTGAACTCCGCACTGCAGTGAAGATAAATGTTCGTGTGGAATGTTGTTTCTTTCCATAAATCTGTTTACACCAAGACCACACTTTGTCCAGTAGCAGAACAGTTGAAGCTCAAAAACTGACAATAAATTTGTTATATTTTTTACTTTTTTGTATTGCGATGGAGGGCAGACCAACTGACCAGAGTATATTTCTTCTATGTATGTTCGTTATGTTCTTGAACCAACCAGGAAATCAAGTTAATTGTAGTTTAACCAAGCATGGGGGCATTTACTAGGTATTCCTCTTTCGGTCTCCTGCTCTAATCAAAAGTTTCTTTCATGTATCACAGTTTAACTAATGTGGTACCAGTTTAATGGGCTTGAAAGAAGGACTGTTTTGTGTGTGCTTGTTCATGCATGTTTCTGCCTGTCTGTGTTTGTATCTGCAGCCCATTTTGTCAGTGTACGACTCCTTCGGTGCCTCGACATGCACAGTGCCCAAAACAGACCAAAATGGCTCTTTGTTTACCATAGGGTGTGTGTGAGAGTCAGTGTGTGAGGGCTCGGGTGCTGCTGATTTGACGTGTGTGTTTGTCTTGTTGATTCCTCTGTTTTGAGAGTGCTGTGGTGGACAGGAAGTGGGAATAATGGAGAGAGCCAAGGAATGTAGTGTTTTTGTTTTGCTGAGCCTCTCTAACCATCATGCTGCTGCTGAGACCAGAGGAACCTTCGCCGGCTCAAATACGTCTCTTACTCGCTCCCTTTCTCTGTCTAACAACATGGCCTAATCAGACTCTGCAAGCTCTTCTGTGTAAACCTGAGCTTTTGAATTAACCAGACAAGAGACAGGTTATTTGATCAGTTTGGTGGTGTTGCCTGCCGGTAGCCCTGCCTACTGTCCAAAATCCTGCTCTGCATTAAACATGAAACCTCTTCTGAGGTTCTGGTGTCATGCAGCAGTGATATATTCAGTGTGGACAGGCAAAGTCTGGTTTGGACATGGTGTCCCAAACATGTAGAATCTGTTATTATGACGCTTTGGTCCAGAAGATTTGGCTCGCATTTGTAGTGTGGATTGATAAGTGTACAACACAGCCTTAAATGTTTAGTGTGCAGTTGATTTGACGCTTAAATCTTGCACTCTTAAAGGGATAGTTCACAAAAAAATTTAATTCAGTTGTCATTTACTCACCCTGAAGTAGTGATGCTTTCGTCAATGAAAATTATGACTAAATATCGTCGTCAACGAACCTTTATCACGTGACGAAAACGAGACGAGACGCAACGTAAATGCCGGTCATGTGACGATGACTATAAATAAATGTATAATGCAATATTGTTGACGAATAAAAACGAGACTAAATGTGGTTTACAAAATAAAAACTATGCTAAAATGTCTCTTCATTTTCGTTAACCAAAACGAGACGAAACGAAATGTTACAACGTTATTTCGTCTCATTTAGTCGCGTTATTATTATTATTTTGCAGTATTTCTGTTTCCTGTGTCTCACTTCAGGGGCTGCATCAGGTCGCACTGCGCAGACGCAGGCGACGTCACTTCCTCAAGCCCCACTCGCGGCATTATTTAGAGCAGTGTTTCCCAACC